CATTTCCATTGATTGACCAGGACCAAGTTTAACGCTTTCTAGAAATTAGATCTTTACAGAAAACAAAATGTATCTTATTTGTAAATCAACATAACTTTAGATTATAAATATTTTCTATGAAATAATAAAGTTTGGCGATTAGTAAAACTTAGTGTTTTTAATCATTGACGATTATTTTATTGCTTTTCAAATTTATCATGTAGATAAGAATGATAGTATTTATTAAAAAAACTCCATAAAAGAGTAAAATCTTTGTTTTTTTTTGAAAATTATAGCGACAGACATATTCTCAATTATCTATTTAAATAAGAATATAAGTCTTTCTAGACTCTGATTTTTACCGGAGAGTAATTTTCATTGTTGTTTCTAGATATGTTGACTCTTCTTTAGTCATTAAAAGACTCGTTTTTTATACGTTCAATGCAACATAATTTCAATCTTTTTTTTACCAGTAGCTTGTTCCTCTCGAAATATTGTAAATATGTACTGAACTAATAATCTTTTTTTCTCTACAATCAGCGTTTCTTTTTTATCATCAAGACATTTTTGTTTATATTTAAGATAAACTTGTTAAGTAAAACCATTTTGTTGTAAAAGTGTATGAGATGAATGTTGAACCATAAAAATCATATGAATTTGAATTATTTCCATGCCAATAATGTGAATCATTGTATGATGATGAATATTGATCATAGAAATCTTGTTGTCGAGTTCTAAATAAGTAAAACTCATTTTATACTAATAATAATTGGCATTCAATTGTTTGTATTAGGAACAAAAAATATAAGAAAATTTGTCAAAAAAAAAATAAAGCAACACAAGTTATTTTTACTATATCCATTTACCTTACTCATATTGAACGATAAGAAAAATTATCTTATTAACTGTAATAAGTAAAGTGAAAGCAAAACGTTTAAAAACGCGATATTTTTGACTTCTTTTCTTAACGATAATAACTACTATTCATTTCAAAATAAGGTGTGCTCCGTTGTGTTTTAAATAACTTTTGATAGGAATATCATAGAGACCTGCAGTTTCCACCATTCGAGGGAGAAGGCCCGAAGCCACCGAAATATATCAGAATTTCATTGGCTAATTGGATAAGTTCTTAGCGAGAATTTTGGAAGGTTCTGGATCTTCTCTCTTGAACGGTGAAAGCCGATGATCTCTATGATGTTCCTATCAAAAGCTATTCAAAAAAAACAATAGACCACATTATATTTTGAAATGAGAAGTAGAACAAATCAAAGAATCATTAAAACATTTTTTTTTAAATTGGCATCAGCTGTTTCTAATTTTCGTTGAGCTTTTTCATAATTATCTCTTAGTTCAGTCATTGTTTGACAAATAGTTGACTTATATTAAAAACAAATAAATAAATAAATAAATACTTGTTTATCTCTAGCTTGTTCGATAATCTTTTTAAATTGCTTAAGCCATCCTTTCCTTTTTGAATCAATAAAATCATATATTTGAATTAAATCATCAATTGTTTGATTTAAAATCGATAAAGCACCATTTGTTCTATATGGAGAACGATAACAACGTGCAACATCACTCAAACGAAATTCTTTCAATGATTTTGATACATCCTTATCAATACTTTTATTTAACTTACAAAATCTTTATTTATTTTCCAAAGATCAGACAATACTTTACAAGAGTCTGAAATATAACGAACTCGATTGTATTAATCTGGTACATCATCACTTCTATATTAATAAATATAGAGAGACAAAATATTTTCATTTTTTATTTTCGAATTTCTTTGTTTAACCATATCGATAAATATTCTATTCAAACAAATTTATTTTCAAAACATTTTTATAAGGATCGATTAAATTTATTTCCTTAGAAATTTTTAATCGATAATTCGAACTATTTTATCATTATTTTGCCTTATAGAACGTTTCTATCTAGCAGTTAAAAACAGATTTTCGACAAAACAAGTTCAAATCGGATGAAATATTAATCATTTGTTAGCGATCGTTCAGTAGAGAGAAGTAAATTGTGTCAAAATTGCTCAGGTCAATATAATGTTTCTAGGATAGATTATTAAAATAATAAATAATTTTCGTTGTCAATCTTTATATATAATAAGATAATCAATACAGATTCATCTAGAAATCGATTTATATAATAAATAATGAATTTTTGACCAAATGCAAGGAGATAGTTAACTATTTAAATTAGCTTTGAAAAAATAACAATAAAGATTTAATATGAAAGTTTGGTTTTTTTTTATTCTACGAATATGAAAACTATTCTTTAAATCTATTTGAATAATATAAAATGTTTGGTTAAATTTGAACAATTCTTTTTAACAATTTGAATATTCTTCAAAACAAATGATATTTTATTTCTAAATAAAGAGTTTTTTTAATGAAAAAACAATAATATATAATTATTATCTTAACTCGACAATAATAACATAAAATAATTTCATTATAAAATTATAGAAAAATTTTTAACAAAAAAAAACACTAGCAAAGGGTTAACTCAATTAAATTAAAATAAATAAATTGAATAAAATCTTATTTCTATCAATATTAGTCTAACCATTGAAATGATTTATTATATTAATATAAGATTTCATTTATTTATTTAAGAGTTTGATTTATTTCAATAAATATCTTCCGTTCGTATAATATATGTTAAATCGATCTAGTTATTCCGATTTCTATTGAAAATAATTCGTTGAATATTATTATATCTTTCGAATATAATTTATCAGTTTTTTTCTCCTCATTTCAATATTAAAAGACTATTTTATTAAATCGAAATAAACCAAACATAAATAAAGATAATAAATGAGATTTACTTTTATTTTTAAATAGAATATATCAATTCTATATATTATTTTATTTTTGAATCGCTAATATAAATAAATCTATTAATATTATAATATAACCATATTCAATAGAATTACAATTATAATAACAAAAACAAGAGAAACATCTTATTATATAAATTGAGTATTTAAAATGTTAATTAAAATAAATATATATATATTGAAAAAAAATTTATATAGAATAAGTTGTTGTCCTTTTATTTAAATTAAAAAATTAAAATCTCATCCAAGGATACGCTGCAAGACTTGATCATCTTCATCGTTGTTCGGAATTTGATCGATTATCATCAGATAAATAATTCTCATTTGCTAATCTCTCAATAAAAGAATTATTTCTATTAAATGATGTCATGCGCACTCTTTTTTTTTCAATATAATAATTATATAATGAAACGACGAAAAAGAACGGAGAACCCTTCAATAATCAATTCTTTGCAGGAAAGAAAATAATCTTATGTTTTTTTCTCTCTTCCATAAAGTATATCTTATGTATTTTTTTTTCATGCTAATAGAGTTCGAATATTGAGGTTAAACTTAATTATAGAAGAGAGAAGAAAAAAAAACGACGAAAGATAGAATAGATCAATTAGATTTTATGTATTTAAATATTAATATTAAATGAAATTTTAAATAAAATCAATATAACGTTAGAAAAAAACTTGTGTTTCATCTTTATTACCTAAAACAACTTCAGCTCTAGTTCAGAACTGATGAACTGTTCAAAATGCTCACTACCACAAACTGAACTATTTGAACAGTTCTTTTCAACGAACTGAACCTTTCCAAATAGTTTAGCTCTATGAGTTGATCATCATGAAAAGTTACACATACCATCTTCAGGATTCCTTATGGGCATCACAGGCTGGACATCTATGACTCCTTAAGTGTTCTATGGGGATATTCATAGGTCCACAAGTTCTATGATATACGGGGTATCAATAGTTCCTCAAGTCCTATTAAATAAGGGTGTGGGTGTGGGTGTTTATCTTCTCTTCACTTACACCCACACCCACACCTCAAGAAGAGTAGAAGAACATCAATAGTAACATTTTATCTATGCTTTCATCGCTTTCGCACGATATTAGACTCTCAATTGACTAAAAAATTAACCTACTAATACAGAAATTCATCATACATTTTCAAACAATGATGTCTATTGACCTGTTTCTATGTATACAAACACTTATGGTAATATAAGGTGAGAACAAGAGAAAGTCTTAGATATCATAAAAAGAAAGCAAGGCATGACATTATTTATTAAGTTTTTTTTTGTAATGAATTGCTTTTTATTTTGCTTTCTGTTGACAATAAAGATAACGACTACTTTAACAAAAAGTGAAGCACTTAAAATGAAACAAAACTCAGAGAGAATGAATATCACGTCTAGACAGAGTTTTAGAGTTATATTTGTAAAGGAGTTTTGAGTGGTGCTGAAAGTTGTATGATTAAAATTGCATTGATGTTGTCATTTGTTCTTGAACTCTACTCAGTAAAGATTATAATGCAAGTTTAGTATGTCAATTTCCTTCAAGCCAAAAATTAAGACAACAGAATAATGAAGGTGTGCGTGTAGATGATCTTGTTTTAATAGACACCAACAATCTACACCTTAGCTCATAATTTACTCATTACTACTTGTATTCTATCCTACTTTGTGGTCTATTTGATATACTTAACGTGTCTAAATCGATTACAGAGAAAAACAATCTAGAATATCCTATTGTTTCTATTCAAAAATGTTTCAATAAATAATATTAGAAGATAAAATCGAAAAATATTTTCTCATTGTAGAAAATTAAGATGGAATTGATCGGTATTTCTTCAGAAACTAACTATATGTAATATGAATTTGAAAAAGTTTCAACACATTACTATATTTTTTATTGAAGTAAATCTAATTCAGATCAATAACGAAACTATTTCGATGAAACAAAAAATAGTTTTTTCAATGATGTAAAATGATGAATTATTTTCAATGTCATATAAGAATAGTTATCAATATATTTATTTTTGACTTTTATGGAACAAAAACCTTTCGAATGAATTCTTAGCTATTTTTATAATTGATTTATCATTTGGAAATTTGTCTTTTTCGAAGTGTTTCGAAGGAATCTCATACCTTTGATGCATTATTCTAGCACTTATATCACAAAAACTCTACACTTATGACATTAATATGTGATCCATGAAAATGTGGAGTGTTTTCAGGAATAATGAGTGAGTGAGATTGAATGTATAAATACGTTCCTCACTTCAATATCAATTATCTCCGTAAACACTTATTTCAAGAGCATGTTGAACTCGATTTCAATGTTCAACAACATCATTTGTGTCCATATGTTAGATTACGTAAATCAAAATACGATTGTTATACAGTAGAAAAAACAAACAAAAATAACAGTATTGAATTTTATTATTAAATGAGCTGTGTGATTTTCGTCAGAGAAAAATGTGTACAATATAAGCTATACAAAAGGAGAAGTTTATGATAGATCAGTACATATATATGTCTAAATTAAAATTATTCTTCCATAAAAACTTTCTATAATACATAATTGAATTTTTATATCATCTTCGTAATCATCAACTCTATTCTTTTTTACTATTGATTCGACTTATATGAATGGTAAAAACCGTATAATATTAATTGATACAAATTTAATGTGTTCAATTGATTCGTCTATTAATTTTTATCAAAATTCTCATTGATAAACAAAAATATTAGTGGAAAAGTGAAAGAAAAAAAATTCTAATAAAGAAAACTAATTCAATGAGATAAATCTTTTAATATTCAATGAACGCTTCTACTAGATCCTTAAAGCATTTAGGTATGAGCTAACAAGAAGAGCTCATCAGATTCACACCCCTCTGTTATCTTCTGTATTACAATTAAATATTAAATAAAACAAAATATAGATAAAAAAGAAAAGTAAAAAGATTGCTTTCGAGCAAAAGCAATAAATGATTCATTCGATTCATTCTCAAAAAAAATTTACACGCACAACTTTCAACAGTATTTATCAGGTCATAATTATACAAAAATTACAAGTTTTCTATCTCTAATCGAAATGTATTTTTTCCTGTAAACGAACTTTCTCAATTATTCTTTTCTAACAGTAAAAAGGTCAAGCATTGTTCCTATTTCATAAGTAAAAAGCAAAACAACTAGAATCTTTTATTCAAACTGATATTTTTGTTACTAATAAATTGTCTATATTCATGTTGAAGAACAACAGTGTAGTGTCAGATTCAACAAGATATATAAAGAGGTTAATATTAAAACAACATTCACTGAAATACTGATAAAGAATTCGTCTATTTGTGGATTTTACCAAAAGACTCATTGTTTAACTTTACAAAAAATCTTTTATTAAAAGCTTTTTTATTAGTAGAAATTTCTCATAAAAATTATAAGGACGATATCATTTACTCGAAAGAGGTTTGCAATTTTCTTTAAATCTCTTCTATGTCTCATAGATTCACTTATACTTTCAAGCATAATAAAAAACCATGTATATTGTATGTCTAATGAGAAAAAAAAATGTGATTCATTAATTTATTTATTATTACTACTGAGATTTCTTTTATAGACTCAAATAATTAATCTATACATAATTTTATTTATGAAAATTCTGAGATATTTTTCAATGAACTAACAATAAAACTCTGTATCTCACAAATACTTGATAAAAATATCAATTATCTTTAGAAACTCATAGAAAACGAATATTCGTCAGAATATGTATTTATCCTTAACGAGAAAATATTTCAATAAGTTATTCAGCATATTTTCTTTTTTTTTTTTAGTGGAACGCCTCACTCTACACCTATAATCGAAATACAGAATACACCAACAACTGTATGATGGGAGATCTGAATAAAAACAAAATACACAATTTCTCAAGCAACTATAGTTTAATCATTTTCTAATAAAAAACCAACATCGAATTTTTTATAGAAACTTAAATATCTACACTGAAAACAAAATGAAATTGTTGTATCTGTCGAATAATTTTTATACAAGAGAAATATAATGAGAAATGCATGAAGATATTCATTAAATGCTCTACTGCTATCATTATTGTCTCTCTTAGAAAATACTTCATTTCATTCTAATTAAATGACATTACTTCATAGAGAGTACTTTGTCAGGTAACTAAAAACAGTTACCACTTTCATTTCTACAATGTCAAAATACTCATTAATAATTCAATTAAGAAAGTGGAACATGTAAAGGCAATAACGTTCATTACATCTAAACGAAAAATGCCCCTTTTTTGTACTAATACTTTGTCTGATATACAGTTTCGTATAAAAATCTAAAAATAATATTACTTTTACATTACAATTGTTTGTTCAAAATGTTTATAATGATGAATTTTGTTTTCATCGATAAATCTTGAAAATTTAAAGAGTACAAATATGATATACTCTATCATCAGGAGACTATTTTGAGATGAATTCATAGCTGTTTATATATTCATTACTATATCGATAAATATGACAATATAAGTGAATACACATCATTCATAGTTTGTTATGTACAAGTTGATACATTTTGGACAAAAATTAGATAAATCCTGAGAAGCACTATATTTCAATGAAAATAATTTGAAATGAAAGAAATTCATCAGTCTTAAATGTGTAGAAATTTCGATTTTTGCACAACTAACATTTCTTTAAAGAAAAGTCGAAAAACTATACGTGAAAAAAGTTTACGCAAAAATTTCTCAGAAATTTCTCAAATACATACATATTGAAGATAATGAAGATGTCCAATAAAAAATATATTGTTCAGTAGAGAGACAAACGCTATCTGATTCTATATAATTTAGACATGTATATATTTCAGACATTCTTAAAATAAAGATCACATTTTGTAAAAATAAAACACACCTATTTTTTAAGTTACTCGAGTTGATAAATTCTCTTGTCTTGTATTCTTATTTGAAGATGAGCAATGTGAAGGAGAAAGACAACACCCTATATATATGTAACATGAAAATTTTTTTTCGTCAACGATGACATGATATAGATGTATGTCAGACGAGAAAAAAAAATCATCAAATCAATTAAAACAGAAGTAGAATGATTGATAAAAAATCAATCAAAATTTTGAACATCGGTCAATTAATCTCAGGGTATATAAAAACATGAATACATCATTATGAAACAGTATACACTCGAGTTGTATTATTATAATGCATTACAATGTATTTATATACCCGGGATTATTATTTATTATTATTATGATATTATTTACAATGATAATGATATTATTAAAATCTATATGAGGTAAATAATAAATTCATTATATATTTAATAAAACTTTTTTTTTCTTTTTTTTAGATGAGTTTCGATACTATACAATATTGGGAAGTAGGAAAAAAAAATTTTTTTACATATTCAGTTGAGTTGAATTGAGTTTAGATAAGCTATTTTGAGAAAAAATAAATACTATCAGTTATTATGAGTATGAGTACTTTTGAGATGAGTTGAGTTGAGTTGAGTGATGAATGTTATTAGTGTGGGTCAGAGAACTACGTTGTCTGATTCAATAGGGACAAGAACTTTCGTGCTATAGCGAAGCAGTGTAGCACTAGGGAAGGCCTCTATGTGTCGTTGGTCCCTACCGTTCATACGGCATACCTTCGGCCATTGCCCTACCAGTGCGGTATGGTCCGCCTGTGGTACCTATGGCATTGACAAGGGTTCTCTCCCTTGTCGAGCGCGCGCGGGTAAGCCAAAATGAACCGAGAAAAATCGAAATGATTAGCAATGTGAATAAATTTATTGAGCAAGCGAAAAGAAAAAATCACAGTTACATTTTCTTTTTAACATGATCAATGTTATCTTTCGTTTCTTTAATATGAGGATGTGTTGACGGAAGTGATTTTTGACGGATAGCAAGTGCCTTTTCTAAGAATGAGAGTGCTTTTGAGTAGTCTCCTTTGCCAGAATACGCCATACCGATGTTGTTGTAGGAATTAGCCAAATCGGGATGATTCGGAGGCAGAGCTTTTTCTTTTATATTAAGTGCTTTTTCGTAAAATTCAAGTGCTTTCGAGTAGTCACCCATGTTGTTATACACTAGGCCGATGTTGTTGTAGGAAGTAGCCAATGAGAGATGATTCGGAGGCAGAGCTTTTTTCGTGATTTCGAGATCTTTTTCGTAAAATTCAAGTGCTTTCGAGTAGTCACCCATGTCATCATACACCGAAGCGATGTTATTGTAGGAAATAGCCAAATTGGGATGATTCGGAGGCAGAGCTTTTTCGTAGATTTTATGTGATTTTTCGTAAAATTCAAGTGCTTTCGAGTAGTCACCTGTGGCGTTATACACTTGGCCGATGTTGTTGTAGGACAGAGCTAAATCCGGGTCATCGGGAGACAAAGCTTTTTCTTTTATTTTAATTGTTTTTTTGTAGAATTCTACTGCTTTCGAGTAGTCACCCATGTTGTCATACACGAGACCAATGTTGTTGTAGGTATTAGCTAATGAAGGGTGATCTTCTGGTAGAGTTTTTCGTTTAATTTTGAGAGACATTTCATAAAATGAAGCTGCTTCTTTGTATTGTCCTTGGTCGTCTTTCAACCATCCAAGCTGGTGATAGATATCTGCTTTATTACTGTCGTTAGAAGCCTGCTCTAGTAGTGCCGTGTACAATTCTTCGGCCTTGTTGAATTGGCCTATTTTGTGCAGCAATTCACTCAATCGATACCATCCAGTGCCGTCGACCTCTTCTCGTATGCGATCGGTTAATCGACGAAGTTGTTGATCATCATCAGACGTAAGTTTAAGGTCCACTTGATAAAGTGGACTTACCTTGTCAAGTTTTCGAATTTCACCAGTTCGAAAGACGGTGTGCATCGAGAAGAGAATTTCCTCTTCGTCCTTGAAATAACTCACCTCCTGAATGGAGGCGAAAGGAGTCGATGAGACAGTAGGATCTATTGTCATTTGATAGAGGATGCCGACCATATCGGTTGTTCCTAATGCATCTTTGGCGAAACCGAGGGAAACATCTCGTTTTGTACTGGTGGATAGAAAATTGTTGAAAGATATTAGACCACCTTTGTTTTTTGCAAGTTTTTCAAAGTCACTTGTCGATAATCCTTGACCCCTATAACCTAGAAAGGACTTTCCATGATACTGACTGACCTGTTGGCTGTGTAATTCTTCAATTTGTCGATGAACATCACACAGGAAAAATCCCATTCGGATGATAATGTCGCCATCCAATGTTCTTAATGCTCTATTGAGCATTTTGTATGTGAAACATTCTCGTGTATACCACCAAATGGCCTTTGATGGTAGATAGGTACCTTCGAATTCATTAATAATTTTTGTTTCTTCATCATTGTTTAGGTATAATTTTCGACAAAATATGGCCAAACCTTTGATGGCCTGTTGATCATGTTCGATATCAAGGAGTATTTCCTTGAATATTTGGGTATACATGAAGGAAGGTTCTAGCTGATTGAGATTTTCGCTAGAATCTCCTTCATTCATACCAAGAATACTGAAGGATATATCATCTTTATTATATTGCTTCACAGTCATTGCCAGCGCTTGACATATGGAATCCATTGACGTATGGACACCTTTAATTTTATTCCAGTTTTTGGTCCATGTTTCTTGACGTTGTTTGTTGCCACAAAAGATGTAAATACCATGTAACTGTGGCATACCATGGATATCTGGCACGAGATCCTGCCCTAAATATCCCGAAGCAATGAGAAAAACCTTCTCCAGACTAATGCTTTTAAGAAACTGGATACATTCATCTGGTTGTGTAAATGTATTAACGTCGTTGATGATGCCTTGTACTTGTGCAAGCTTCTTTTGCCAATCTTCTTCTGATTTGTCGATAGAGTCATCGACCCAGATGACCAAATAATTTTCAGCCATGCGCCGCCTTCGTTGTTCATTCATTTTCGATACAATGTTTGCTGTTGGGTCGGTAATCGAGTATTGGAAATAATGGATTGTTGTTTGGCAGAGATTACCTTTTCTATTTATACGCTAGATACCTCGCTGTTTTTTTTTTCTAAATTGTTCTACGACATGAAATATAAATATGTTTTTCTTTTTCGTTGACACTCGAGGACAAATTTCACCTAGTTGTAATTGAAAATGTGTTTGTCAATAACAAATGAAAGAGAAACAATCTAATAACGTCATTTATTCTATTGTTATTCTTTCCAACTTTCGTTTGTTTTTTATTTACATAGGAATCACTTGAAAGCCAATGAGTTGGATACCATCTTTCATTGACTGTTTACTGTTTTATCGAGTCTTTTCGAAAAAAAGACTTGTTTCTCATTTTGGGAAGAACGAAAAAAGAAAAAGCAACAAAGACATCGTTAGTTTTTTTTTCATCATGCATACAGTTGACATGCTGATAATGTGAACGAAACAAAAAGCAGCATAATTTCGATTTTAATTGAGGCAACAATCGAACAACGGTTTCTACTTGCCAAATATACTGCTGATTATTAATTATTATCCATTTGAAAATAAAGGAAGGATGAGTATTTTTGGAATAATTTTTGACAGGAGTAAGATGCAGATCTGAGGTTTCTACTGTTTAAAAGATGAGATGAAACTGCATCAAATCGTATATACCAAAATTTTCTGACAACTGTTGTCAAGGTCTCTCCGCAAGTTTTTCAAGGGAACGATGATTTCAAATAGATTTATAAAGTAGATAATTCGTCAAAAGATCAGAGAAAAAAATGTCAATTTTTTTGTGAAGAATCTACCGATAAAACGTAGTAAAATGTTTATAACTCATAATTGGCTACACCTTACAATATCGGACTTACACAATTTGTAGATATTTAGTTAATGATTCTAGTGCATTCCTGGAAATTAAAATTCTAAAACTTTTACGTTACACAATGTTTTGTTTTTAATAAACTTGCCGGTAGACCCTGGTAATAGTCGTCAGACAAATTTGGCATATGTTATTCTATGCAGTTTCATCTTTTCTTTTAAATGGTGAAAATCGCAGATCTCTACTTTGTTCCTATCAAAAGTTATTCCAAAAATACTCATCCTTCTTTTATTTTGACATGGATAATATTGAGTGAAGTAAAACAATTGTTCTCATTGTGCTTAACTTTCAGTGATATGTATCATGCCTCAAGGCTATTACAGTATTTCAGTTTGAAGATAATGCAAGATCGAAGTAGCTATCACCAATTTGAAAATGAATGAAATACTTGAATGAAGGCTTTTCATATAAATATAGTAAACAAGCAAAAGTTTTATTTCAATTATCATCCAAATTTCACCTGAAAATCCACTCTAGCCGCTACTGACTAGGCAGTGCAATGTTTTGACAGCTGAGTAATTGCGGTTATGATCTTTAGTCATTTCTTATCCTAAACAGTTCTAATTGAAATTCGAATCAATATTCCGAATAAAATTAGTCATTGTTTAGCAGCATTAGTCGAATTCAGTGAGTTCTAAACTCCTGGAACACTCAAAAGTGCAATTCCACTCACGAAACTCTCGGAATTCACGAAACCCAAGACATTTTCAGAAAGATGTAGGTATAGGTTTTGGTTCTTTCGACATCCACAGCCACACTCATATTCGAGACAGCACTGCAATTGTCTACAATTTGTGGGTAAACAAACTATTATGTTGTCAATTTTGTTTGAAACATTAGGATTGATCTGTTATTTAAATTTCCACAGGTTATTGAATTCTGGACACATTCTTCAATGAGGTAAATGACATTCTGAGAGTGTGTAAGTGAGACTAGAAGAATGAATGTATCATCATTCACACTCTTGCTAAAATGATTTTTGATGTATCTTATATTCATTTGGAATATGTGTAAAATAAAAAGAAACTTTGCTTTCTTTTGATATTCTAACTGCTGATCTTTCATTAATCTTTATATGATTCATCAAGAAATAATATTCAAATTGTGTTTGTTCACAATTGAGATTCACACAATTTTAGCGTGCACCACAATGACAACGAGAAAATGTCTATTAGGAGAGTCATCTATGTTTGCATACAGCTAACAAATGATGAAAATTATTTGGAGTTATTTTTTTAACTAAAATCGACAGTAATATTGAAGATATAAGTAAAAAAAAATACTATGATTGTTGTGCATGCCACATGTCTTTGCACAAACACAGAACTTTGTTCCGTGAATAGAAACAAAATTGGCCGTAACATTGATTTCATGATTCTGTTAGGTTTCTTCTGAAAATGTAACTATGACAAACAAGAAAGATCAACAAACAAAAGTAGATTAACAACGAACGAGCCAACAAAACAAAAACATACACTAATGCAGTTTTATTATTGATACTATCATTTGCGAGGATAGAATATGTAAACAAAGGACTGGTGAAGAAAAGTAAGACTGCATTTTTCTTTATTCGCTTCTTTCTTTCAATGTGTTGACATCTCATCGGAAGCTTTTTACGACTGGCTGTCTATGTTCTTCTATCATGTGAACGAGTTTGAATCAATCGAAAGACCTTAAAAATCAATTCGATACTGTTCGATGCATTATATTCATTCCATTTTTTCTCCATGGTTCTTGATTCACAAGTATCTAATGTAGCGAAAAACGTATAGACTAAGTATGATAAACATCATATTGAAAAGATCGTTAAAATTGAATGAATGCTGAAGATTTAGTTCGCTAGAGCATTCACTTTTTTTTTATGTGACAAGAAATCTTCTTGATTTGGAAAATTGAAGAGTAGGATGATGTAGAACAAATTGCTAAGAAACGAGAGAAAAATCTTGCCGAAACTAGAACTGAAGATAGAGGAATTTCAAAAGTCGAGTACTTAGTTTTTTGGTTGATTACTATATTGACGGCGCTGTGGGTGATCTGCTTACATCTCTAGATGAATATGACAAATAGATTTCATATTTCAATCGGCTTATGCTGCTGCTCGGAAACATCTGTAAAACAAAACCTGAAACAGACTTCATATGCGAATATTCATCATAACCAACAATGATAACAGGCATAACGTATTGATGCACGGAATTCATTATTGTTTTTAAGCAAAGAATCCTAAATACTAGAACATGTCATGAAATATCATTTAGGTATTATCAAGAAGATCTTCATGTAGTATTAGAGCTTTTGAAGTTCTAAAATTATTTCTAGACAAGATTGTCATCGAGAAGATCAGGTATGTCGTAAGATGAATCCACAAGACAGAAAACCATGAAAGATTTGTAAGAATCACACTTTCTCGATACTAATTAAATATCATTTTTTATTATAACGTCATTGACAAGAACATTTGCCATAATGGGACAGACTACATTTTCACGACTATTCATTAATGAAAAGTTAATAACCCGTAATAGATGTTTATATCTCAAAGATGACTTAGAATGATTATCTGTCTTTTAGAATATATTAATGGATAGATTGATGAAGATTGGAATCAACTGCCTCAGTGCGAGAGCTAGGCTTTGTGGCTACAAAAAAACTTTACAAACTAAACGACAACTACAGAAGTCTCTATTCAGTGTTCTGAGTATAGAAA